GCAAGGTGATCGTGCCATTCAGATCCCAGTGAGAGCTCCATATCTAAGTTCAGCACCACAAGGAAGGATGTAAACCAGAAGCCTTCTGAGCAATGCTTCTTAATTTTTGTGGTTTATGACACCTTCCTCCAGAGTAATACATGCAAACATATGCACTTAAAAAGTTTTATGTGCATTTGATTACATTGCATTGTAAATTCATTGCTTTTACAGATAATGTACAAAAATATTTTACACAATTTGACCTCATTATCATTTTAAATATAATTTAAGCTTTATAAATTTAAATCTTACAAATAAAGTGAAAAAAGCTTAACTATACCACAAGTAAATTATTACAAAAAGACAGTTTTTGTTTGACACAAAAAAGAAGTTGAAATTGTGCAGTGTTTTTGATGATGTCGCAGTATGAATATTGTGTTTAAAACTTAGTGAATTTTAACTTTTCCTTATTATGGCAACAATTGCTAAAAATTCGATAATAGTAGCAAATATAGTACAAGTCCCACATTTGGAAAAGCAAGCTGAGGAGTTGAGAAGTGACCTATCCCAAGGAGCCAAAAATTGCTGCCCAGCACTTCGGTTCATATCATCAAGTCACTAAAGTCATTTTTAACATAATTCATCAACGTTGTGCTGCCTACATCAGGTAGAATTATAGATCCACATTTCATTTGGAACAGGAGTAACCATAATATATCTGCAGTGCTTGGAAGAGTTTACATAGTTTTCTTAACTGATGATCTCTTCTGAAATAGCTGCTTGGCTAAAAGAGCACACAGGTTTCTGGCAACATCCAACATGGTATGTGGAGGGCCTTGAATTGAAGGATTCGCTTCATTGATTTGGTCATAGATGTCTGCTGAGTCAGGACATGATCCTTCCTATCATTTGTTCTTCAAATATACTTCCCTATCTGCGTTGGTTGTATAGTGGTGAGCATAGCTGCCTTCCAAATATACTTTCCTTCAGTCTCCAAATAAGTAATATGTCTATCTCAAGGTCAGTAACCTCTGCAAGACTAATCCTAAGAAAACCAATTAACTTTATGTCCACTTTTACTCTGGACAGACTATCTTGGAAAGGAGTCAGCTCTGATGCAGTTGATAAGATTCAGAGCAGACAAGACTTCTGTGAAGGTTACTGGTAGAGCATTTGATACAGAAATGAGAGTCATGCTAAAATTGCAGCTGACCGCTTCACCTGAGCAGCAATTCCAGATGTGCTGCCAAGCATCTACCTTAGGGGCTCCATCCAAGCAGAAAGTACTGTTGTTTATCTTTTTTTTGACCAAAGGAATTTTCACCATCAGTAGTTTTTGTAATTTCCAAAAGATATTTCCAGGATAAAATTACTTTAATAATAGCAGCACACACATGAGTAAAAGCCAGGAGTTGGTTGCACTTGGAAGTGGTCATCTAGGTGCAAACTGAAAGAAAATACTATCACCATCAACTTCCATTTCAGAGGCCTCTCTTAAAATAGTAAAAATCAGGTAGGCAGCTCTGAGAGGACGGCCCTCTCTAGCAGAACTACTTCATTTTCTCCATCTGCTTGGAGCTGTAAACCAGCTTAACAAGGTGAGGTCTCTTCTGCAAGGTCTTGCCGGTAATGAATGTGTTTCCCTCTGCCTGGGTAGCCTTCTGAGTGCTTCAAAAACAAGGCTGTTTGGAGGCAGTTGTGTATGCAGCCTACCCTTAAGTAAGATCCTTGTCTGGAATATTTGTTGTTTGGAATGTTGTAAGACACCTCTTGAATTTTATTGATATAAGCATTTACTCAAAGTAGGAGTTCGTTGTTTTTTTGTTTTTTTTTTTTTTTGGTGGGGGTACCGGGCATTGAACTCGGGTCCTTGCTCTTGCAAGGCAGGCCACCGAACCACTGAGCTAAATCCCCGGCCCCTCAAAGTAGGATAAAAGTACTATTGCTTTGGTGCTAGTCATAGCAAGTATAAAAGCAAAAATGGAAGATTTGTGAGCTTCATCCTAGTTTTTTTCCCTGACATTTTCAGACAGATGAATATAATTGTATTGGCAGAATATGTGATTATTCATTTTCATTATTGACAGACTTTTGGACATTAGTGCATCGCAGGGAGGATAACTGCCTATTATTTGACCTTACAGAGTGTAACATGGCAATAAGGATGCCTTTGTATTATTTGACTGATAATACACTAACATCCAGTGCTGCCTTATGATTATTTGTAATAAAATACAACATTTTTCAAAGAAACACTTTATTAATCAGCAGAACATATCAGCAAGCCTCCTTAGTAGTGAGAGATCTCTGAATCATATTACTTAAGTTTGGCTTAAGGAATAAGGAGATTGTGTGCTCATTTTTTTAATATTTAAAAAATGATCTTATAGAAGAGTGATATTAAATCCCAAGAGTATATAAAAGGGCCAATAGATAAAAGATTTCACATAAGCCTGTTTCCACTCAGTATAAGGAATATTTTCCATCATTTATAGAGTCCCTCACCAGTCATGTGGGTTATTTTGCAAAACTTGTTTGTCTTAGAAGTAGCGGCAGTGGATCCATTCCACTGTGAAATGGCTCATTGTACCCTGACTTCTGTTTAGTGACCAGCGCCTTCTGTATTTGCTGACAAGATCATTCACTTAAGGGAGGCCACGGGAACACAGCTAAGAATATGTGCCCAAGATGCTCCCGAGAGGCAAATGGGATCTTGGGCAGTAAGCTAACTTTTCTGCACATCAATATTTTCATTTGTAAAATGGAGGTGATTGTCTCATTCCTTCTAAGGGTGTTCTGAGAACTGAGTGAGTTAATATATTTTTCAAGTACCAGATGAATATTGTACCGTTAGATGCCAACACTCCGAAATCTGTCACATGGCCAGCATCTGTGCTAAAACACAGAAGTGCAGTGCTAGGAAGAAGCTGAACAGCCATGTTTCAATGATGTTGAAGAAAGAATTTCTGCATTTGAAAGATTATACTCAGAAGATTCCATGCTTCTGAGTACAATCACATTCTGGAAGTTGGGATCTGACAAAAGAGAAATTTAGGGTAGGTCCTTGCATGTGTAAGGAACATGAATGTTCAAGGCTGGCTGTGTAGGACCTACCTTTATCCTCTTTTCTATAATGGCTTTCTCTAGTAGAAGATACATACACATTATTGGGATATTGTCTTTGGTATAGACAGATACACTGTTTTTGTTTGTTTGGGATTTTTGTTTGTTTGTTTTGGTATCGGGGATCGAACTCAGGACCTTACACTTGTGAGGCAGGTGGCAGAACCACTGAGCTAAATTCCCAGCCCTGTTTTTATAATTTAAATTGATGTTTTAAGTTCTGGAATTTGTTTCCTTTTTTGTTCACTTCTGCCTTTTTGAGGTCTCACCACAATTGTTACACATATTTACAGTGAGCTAAGACATACACATTTTTGAAAAATTTTTGTTCTAGAATGTATTCAGTATGCTTACTGAAGTCCTTTTCATTAAATTATTTACTATGGTTGAGAGTGTGGTCCCTGGAGTCACATTTCTCGTTTTCAAATCAGTTCTGCCTTTTGGCCAAATCCGTCTCTACTCTGAACCCCTTCCCTCATCTATGAATTATAGTTGCTAAAAGTACCAACTTTTCTGCTGTGGTGAGAATAAGTGAATCAGTATGTGGAAAGAGCCTGGCATAGGCAAGTCCTTAACAAATGTTGGCTCTCCTCCTTGGGTTAATACAGTCTAGCATTGATCTGTGGCATATCATGTGTTGGTATTATTAACCCAGTTCCCAAAGTACTGAACTGAAGAATATACACAGTATGAGAGCCTTTCCAATGAAACTATTCTTGTAGGTGAATTATAATAAAATTATGTGCTGAGTCAGTAGAGGTATGAATGAATATAGAGGTTGTGGATGGAGTGGCCTGGCTCAGAACACTCAAGAGTGGTCTGATTAAAACATTTAACTTTTTTTCTTGAACTCAGGGCCTCATGCGTGCCAAGCAAGTGTTCTACCACTGATTTACCCCCCAAGATCTTAAAACAACTAATTTCTAAAGTGAAATTTTACTTACCCATCCCAAGAGGCATTTGCATTTTTCAGAGGATTAACTAGAGAATTTAGACCTTGTGGGGATGAATTGGGGATCTACCTCTTCTCTCTTACAGTGTTTATTGTTAGCCTGCCCTTCCTCCTCCTTCATCCCTCCACATTTTCCTGCCCTGCCCCTTTCTTCTAGGAAAATAAATGTAGAAACCTGCTCTGCCCAGTGAGGCATGGTGCCCACAAGGTTTTAATTCCTCCGCCTGGGGAGTGACACCACATACAGGAGTGTGCCCAACAGAGCCCTTACTTATGAAAAATGTGATGAGTTTGACCCAGTAAGCCATGAGCTGCTGCCAGTGACACAAAGGAGCTTCTGTACATTGCTTGCAATTTAGGATCTTTTAATGTTTATTAAGACGAAAGATTTCCTTTATATCATGTTAGCTTATGTTGCTTTAGGCTTTTTAAAATAAGTATAGAGGAATATCTGAGGTACTTGGTTTATATGTGTATATGAGATTATTAAGAACTGTCTTGATTTTATAAATTTGTGTGTGTGTGTGTGTGTGTGTGTGTGGAGAAAGAGAGAGAGAGAGAGAGAGAGAGAGAGATATTAAGATTGAGAGAGAGGTTTTTATCTGATGTCTAAAATATCCTAGTTGTTCCATAATTAGATTGTGGTTGGCTGACCATAATAACAGCTAGTTTTCTACAGCTAAAAATATTGAGGAGAGGATAACACTTAAAGAGTAAAAGCATAACATTGCTAGATATGTAAATATACTGTGTGCCAGTCTTAGAAATACACGTGGTGTGAAGTTGAAGAACTCTATTGAACAACTGTATGAAACAGTCTCAAGAGCATGTTTTCTTTTAGTTGGTATTTTTTGTACTTTATATGAATTTTTTACTTCTATAAATTACCATTCTGCCTAGGTAATGTTTTAATCCTTTTTTTTTTCTTTTCATTTTCAGCTTATGGAAAAGTATTTCTAGTTCGTAAAATAAGTGGTCATGATGCTGGAAAGTTGTATGCCATGAAAGTTTTGAAAAAGGCAACAATTGTTCAGAAGGCCAAAACCACAGAGCATACGAGGACAGAGCGACAAGTCCTGGAGCACATTAGGCAGTCACCATTTTTGGTGACATTGCACTACGCCTTCCAGACAGAAACCAAACTTCATCTCATCTTAGGTAGGTGTCAGTTGTTATACTTTTTACGAGAACATCTCCCCCCAGGTCTGAGTTGTAACTCACTCAAAGGGCAACATATTCCAGACTTAAAATAAATGAAATGTTTTAATTATCATTCTTCTCTCTCCTTGAACATTATGCATTGTGTTCTCTAGTATGCATTCTCCAATGTGAATAAGCTTATATGGTTCTATTGCATACTCCATTGTTAATCACAAGAAACAGTTATTATTCTGTTGCAAGGAGCTGAATGAAGAAGTGGGCCATGATTTCTACTTTAGGAATTCTCAAGAATGTACAGGTTTGGGCTAACAACGGGACAATTATGGAAACCAATAAAGGCAAAAAATAAAAAAGAACGCAAAGACTTGTATTCCTAGAGATGCTCTTCATTTCCTGTCAGAAAACCTGTATACAAAAGGAGTGTCACTAGTCAGTCAACTCTTTGGTCGCTCCCTTTTCCCACACAGGCACTTTCTGAATCTGAAACTTTTCCAGCTGGACTGTCATTTGTGATCTTTGGAAAAGTTGTAAACATACATTGCCAGGTTGCTTTGTAGGAAAGTCGTACAACTTTTGTGTTCCTTGAAGAATACTGTGCTTCTAGTATTAATACTTTGCCATCACTGAATATTTCATTGTCCCTTGCTAAGTTAATGTGTGTGTCTATGTTATAATTCTCTCCCAGAACTGTAGCAAGGTTTAAATAGGCTACAGTTTCACATCTTGCTCTGGAATCATGAACTATTTCTTGAATGCCTATAGAATGCCCACCTTTCTGCTGAGATAGCCGTAGTATCAGTGACCTCATAGTACTACAGGACCTTCTCGTCTGGAGGCTGAAGTTACAAATCTTGTGTAACCTTGAAGATTAAGATTAGGACTTGGGTCTGACTCATTCCAAAGTCTGATTTTTTATTGGCTGAATAGTGCTGCCTCTATTCTTTTACTAGTAGCAATACAAACAAAAGTTTTATACAAATTTGGCAGTTGTGTTAACTGCTCTCATTTGGGAAATTATATTTTAATTTATTGATACCTACATTTGCATTTTCTTTTTCAGCCCTGGAGTTAGTTATACACTTCAGGCTCATTATGAAATGTTTATTAACTGAAAACCCTAGCTGTATATCTGTATATATGGAAAAACCTTTCCTGTCTTGTCCCCGTTAGTATTAGCACCTCGATCCAGTGGATAAATATCCCCTGGCCCTTCATTTTTGCCTTGTGTGTGTATCTGCTCTATGTTATTAACTGACTGTTTTCACTCTTTATCAATGGCCCATAAATAAAGAAATACAGAACAAAGCAAGAGAACCCAATTCTGCCCCAGCTCAAGAATTCATTGTGGACCAGACAGCATCTTCATTTGGTAACAAATGGCAGTGCTGTAGAAAGCTTGCTCTTCTGCGCACATAGACTTACTCGACACGATTTCTCTTTGTATATGTACATGGTGGTTTTTCAACTTAAAAGAAGAAAACTTTTCAGAAATTTAGAACACGACTTGATTATAAATTGTTTTTCTGCTTCAGTTATTGTTTGCAGCATTCTGATGCACAGCAAGCCATTTTACCAAATACTTTTACTAAACAGTAGCACTTAAAGACCTTGTTTTTTAAACAAATGACATATTTAAGAAAGTATTCTATTACTGCAAAAGTAGCATGCATGTATACAGAAGATGTAGAAAAGAAAAGAAAAACATTTTCATTACCAGAGTTTACCTTACTACGATAGTCCAGGACAGAAGATAGTTTGACTTGGGATTTTTCGCCTTTAGGATAGCACAAGAGCAATTAACACATTCCATAGAAGGCATACTTCACATTTAGGGTTGTGATCTTGTCCCAGGCTAGTGAAGTGTAGTCTGGTCATCTTGATGCTGGGCAGGGAAAATGAGCTGTGGTTCCCAGTTACCTCTGCGATCACAATTTAGACTCTTGGTGCCCTGTGTTGCTAAGCTGGGATGGTTCAGTATGTCAGTTATACTGACTGCATTTTCAATTTAGGATATTCTTAACTTACAGTGAGTTTATTGGGTTGTGACAATGTCCTAAATTGAGTATCTGTATGTTAATAGTATTTATCCTTCTAGATATTTTCTGTCCGTGTACATGCATGGTTTATCAAAATGAGTGTCTTGTACATAGTATTTGTAATTAGGTTTTTTTTCCATTTAATGACATCTGCCTTTCCCAGCTAATAAATTTTCATTTCATTGACTCTCCAGTTTTAAAATTTGTAGCTGTGTAGAGTCAAGTATGGTGGCGCACTCCTGTAATCCCAGCATTTGGAAGGCTGAGGCAGAAAGATTTCCTTGAGTTCAAGGCCAGCCTGGGCTGCATAGTGAATTCAAGGTCAGCTTGAACCAACAAGTGAGACCCTGTCTCAAAAAAAAAAAAAAAAGCCATATAACAAAACACAAAAATTTAGTAGTTTAAACAGTAAATTATTTTCTTGCCATTGCTGGCATAGCCTGGGTTTATGCACATGGTGTTCGGCAGCAGAGTTAGCTGGGTTAGAAGGACCTAGGTGGTTTTATTCTCAGACCTGGAAGTTGGTGCTGGCTGTTGGCTGAGCTGTCTCACTTCTCCAGTACCATAGATCAGCTTCTTTGTAGCCTGGCAACCTGAACACTGCTCATGAAGACTGTGGAAAGGTAGAAGTTGCAAGGCCCCCAGAGACTGAGTCCTACAGTCCACACAGCCTCCCTGCTGACACCTGACCACCTAGATTTGTGTCTTCAGGGGAACTGTAAAGAATTTGTGGCCATCTATCACATAAGCTCATATTCAGATTTTGCTACTGGTCGCAAAATTATCCTTTACAATTTATTTTTATTTTTCATTTTTTGTTTCTTGGCGGGGCTTTTTAGAGGGGGAGGGAATGGAATCTCACCACATTGCCCAGGCTAGTCTCAAACTCCTGCACTCAAGTAAGCTTCATGTCTCAGCCTCCCAAGTACTGGGACTGCAGGTGCACGCAGCATCAGCGCCTGGCCAACTGGTTTGTGTAAAGTAGGAATACTTACTTGGTTGTGTCACTGGGGTGTCTTTTAGCTTATTCTTGCCTCTGCGAAGTTCTAATTATTGAGAAACCTTGATAGATTGAAATTAAACATTGCAGGCTGGAATACATGGCAGGTGAGATTGTGTATTTCATATAGTATCACATTATAAGACACCTATTATCTGTTTGTTCTCAATTAGTGCTGCTTTTAGATTATATAGATGATAATCTGATCCCTTTATTATAATACTTTTTTCCCTTAGAAATAAAAATATTCTGTGCTGGTTTTTGACACATTAGGATTTTAACATAATGTAACATATGGTAATAATTTAATAGAACTTTTTATAACTTCATATCAATTCATAAAGATCTTCTTTGGTTTTTACTCCTGCATAGTACTCCTTTCCATTCCATTATGTATTTAACTGTTTCCCTATGACTGCATCTTTGGGTGGTTGTTTCTAATCCCCCCTGCCATGGTACTGGGGATTGAATCCAGGGCTTGGCATGTGCTACACAAACACTCTAACCCTGAGACCATATCCCCAGCCTCCCCCTCCCTTTTTAAAATTTTATTTTGAGATAGAGCCTTGTTAAGTTGTCCAAGCTGGCCTCAAACTTGTGATACTCTTGCCAAAGCCTCCCAAGTAGCTGAGATTACAGGTGCACACCACTCTGCCTGGTTTCTGATTTCGTCTTACAGTGATACTTCAGTATCCAACTAGAACGTCTATCGTTTTCCACTTGAATAGAAAAAAAAAAAAAAAAAAAAAACCTGTGGGCTTGAGTCCTGGAATGGAGTTTTTTTGGGTCTGTGGCTTTACCGCCTGTAATTTTGTCAAACATCCTTCCACAGAAATCGTGCCATTTTACTCTCTTACCACTCTTGTCTGGTAGTGTTTCTCCAGAGTGTATTGTCAAGAGTTCTAGATATTTGCCTGTCTCTTAGACGAGGAGTAGTGTCTCCTTGAGTTAATTTTCTTCTTTTTCCTAAATTAGACTGATCATCTTTTCATATGATTGGGCTGTTTGTATTGTTCTTTGTGATCTTTCTTCTCAGTTTCTAAGAGCCCCTAGAGAGATAACCATTTGTGATATACATTGCAAATGTTTCCCAGTTTTCTTTAACTTTGATATTTTACCATGTTAAAATTCAAATCTATGTACAGTGGAATTTTTAAAATTATTTTCATAGCTTATAGATTTTAGCCATAGTTGAAAGACCTCTGTTCTGAGTTCACAAAGAAATTCACTGATTTTTTTTTTCCCTCATACCGCTTGTATGGTTTTATTTTTGCACTGGGCACTTCACTCGAAGTGGAATTTTTCTTTGGTTGACATGCACTAAGGATCCAATTTAAATCTTTTTCAGATGGCTAGTTTCCCAGCACTACTTAGTAAGAAGTCTTTGTTTATCCTGACTTTTTCGTCTGTAAAATTCTCATATATGTTGATTCTAATTATTTTGCTTCCTTTGCTTGGTTTGCTAACTCATGTGCGAATTTGCCAAGGTCCTACAATATTTTTTATTATCTGGCAAGGCCACTCACTTGTCTTTCATTGCTATTTTGTGGAAGGTTCTTCCTGTTGATTTATTTTTTCAACATGAACTTTTAAATCAAATTGTGTAGTTCTGTGAGAAAGAAAACTGGCTAGAGTGTTTCGATTGGGGTGGCTTTAAACTAAACATTAATTTGGGGGAGAACTGCCATTTTTAAGGCATTGATTAGCCTGTTCAAGGACATGGTATGTCTTCACCTGTTCAAATCTACTTCTGAAACCTCTAGGAATTTTTAATATTTTCTTTGCACTCATGTGTCTTGTTGAATTAATCTTATATATTATCATCTCCATCATTCTCTTGCACTGTATCTAGCTGAAAATTATTCAGTTGTGTCCATTAACTTTATATCCTGCTAATTTACTACATTTTCTTACCTTCCCACAGTGCTGATTTTCTGCCCCGTTCTTGCTCAGCCTGCTCC